CTCCCTGCTCTATAGGGCTACTTAACATGTATATGGGTATTTACTCATCCAACATGTTTGAGAAGCATCACCGCGTGTGTTAGACCTAACACAGTGCGATGATGCAGGTTCCTGGCCTAAGCAGACAGAGGCTTAGTGCGGGCTATGCTAGACGGCCACCCCTCTTTTCCGGGAGATAGTGTCTGGGAGATCAGGAGGTGCAGCCCAGGGCTATGTCTGAAAGCAGCAAAGCAAAAACCTCTATGACATAGACAACTGCACCCCCTTTAAATTGCATCTGGTTCAGACGGGGAGCTGGCCTGCTGAGATGGTCCAAGGGTCACAGAGTTGCTGTTGGCTCCTTGTGTCATGGGTGTGGTCATGAATTCCTCATCCCTCTCACTTTCTGTCCACTTCTGCTCTCTTCCACCTTTCCCTGATGCTAATACAGCCCCCGCTTCCTGGCCTTCCTGCTGCTCAGGGTCTTGCCTTGTCCTTCTCCAAGCCTCTGCCCTTTACTTGGGGTGCTCTTTCTCCATTGCCTGGCTTGGCTTATTCTTACTCATCTCCTCCAAGACTCATCCCCTCCAAGAAGCCTTCCCCACCCCCAGACTGTGACAGTACCCCCCTTCATCCTGTTACATATTGCATTATAAGCATCGATAAGTGCCTTCTATTGTGGGTAGCAGCCTAGGTGCTTGTCTCATCTCTGGGTCCAGATGGGTTTTATCTCCACCTCCATCCCCTTTCTGCGGTTCATATACATCCAACACCATGACAGCCAAAGAGGACACCTGCTATGCGAGTCACTGTGGAGGAAGAGGCAGAAACACTTTGATGTGAACACCCCTCCTGAGATGAACAGAACAGAAACTCTAGGGAAAGACTGATGTTCCTACAGGTGGTGCAACGCACCACCCACCAACCCCTCCTCTGCAGATGGTGTTGGAGGTTGAACCAATACTGGACGCCAGACTTGACCCTGGGGTTTCTTGCGAAGTGTGTAGATAAACAGGAATTGATGTAAAGTAACTTCATGATGGAGGTCTGTTCAGACAAAGACGGGAGAGGAGAAAGGGGGGGAGGGAGATGAGGAAAGGGAAGAGGAAGAGGGGGAGGCAGCAAGCTCGTGTTCGATAGTCAGCCTCCCTGGTCCCGCGGGACTCTTTCCCTCTGTCATGAATTCTTGATCCCTCTGCCTCTTCCGTTTCTCACCCACCTCTTGTCAATTACTCAGTGCATCGTTCTGGGATGTTGGAAGGATTAATGAGACATGCCTGGCAGAAGGGCGGTTGCGTTCATTCATCCTGGCCCCCCACAGTTACTAATTCTTACAATTTCCCTGCACTAAATAGCACTCAGATCTCAACAATTCTGAGCATTCCTGCCAGTGAAGAGAAAAGCAATCACATATTCAGTGACAGAAGGACCCAAGTGGATTTATAATGGTCTGAATAACAGGTAACTTGATTTGCTTAAGCTTTGAGATACTTAAGAATTCATATAAAAGGATTTGGGGATTTAGAGAATACATGTCTGGGGGGGGGATAATTGACTAACCTGACAATTCCGATAAATCAAATTCTATTACTTTGAGGAACATTCAAAGATGTGCTTCCGTGAAAAACTTTTAGTAAAAATAGCAGCTACTGACTAGTTCAGGGCAAACTTTGAAGGCTTGAAGACTCTCTTTGCTTTGTGTGAGTTTAAGATTAAAAAAAGTTTTCCAGATACACCGTCTCTTTCCACTTCGCCTCCTGTTATAGCTATGAGGTTGCCAGGGCCCATAAGATCACACCTATTTTATAAATAAGGAAACAGACTCAGTTTAAGGCTGGTCCCCATCAAAGATTTGGTGGCAAAGCCAGGTCTCCAGACTCAACTGTCCCTTCTGTTGGACTTCACGGGCATGCCACACCGGGCAGGTGACCGGGTCCCATGCTCGGAGGGGCCCCAGCTTAGTTTACCGCTCTACTGTTGCCATCTTGAAAAGTCTCAGTACTGTCAAACCAGTGTCACCAAACCAGGTTCATTTTGCCCAACACACAACCTAAAACCCAGAGACGCCAAGGTTGACAGCAAAGAAAGGGTTTACTCACAAGGCAGCCACAGCAGGGAGACAGGAGAGCAAATCTTGCACACGCTGCCTTGAAAGCAAAGAGCTCGAGGCATAACAGGGATAAAGAAGAATGAGGCAGGGTGGTCTGAGGCGTGGGGAGCGAGCGGGCGCGGGGGGCGCGGGGGGCGACGGGGAGCGTGGGGAGCGTGGGGGGCGTGGGGAACGTAGGGGGCGTCGGGGGCGTGGGGAGCGTGGGGGGCGTGGGGGGCGTGGGGAAAGGTTATTGGAAAAAGGTGTAGTAACCGTTCTGCGCAGGTGTAACCAAGCCACAGGCCTCGGCACGTTAAAAGTGGGCGGTGCTTGGGGTCTGAGGGTGGAGTTTTCGGCCCTCTGAGGTCCCAAGGTCATGTATGGCGCGCACACTCGCACATACCCGCTTGGAGGGTTGGTGGTCCTGTCGGCCTTACCTGGCTCAGCTGGAACGCCACACTGCAGACTCCAAATTCCTGGACCACACGTCTGGCAAACATCTTACTGTTTAGGCTACGGGCCCTCAGAGGACAAGCAAGTTTTCTGTAGCAACGCTGACAACCTTGATTAGTGGAGGCAGGTTACAGGTTTAATGGACTAACCATTACCCATGGTTTCCCCGGGAGTCCTGCATTTGTTTTTTTATTTTTTATTTTTTAATGGGGTGGGGCGTAACTAATTTTGTTTGTTTATTCATTTTAATTGATTGATTTTAATGGCGGTACTGGGGATTGAACGCAGGACCTCGTGCATGCTACCACTGACCTATAGGCACATGCTCTACCACTGTGTGTTTTGCACTGGGGCCTGCAAATCCTGTAGTGGGTCCTACTCACAGCTTCTGGACTCCCCTTCTGTTCCTCCACACTGGATCCCAGAAACACCGGCCACGTGGGGACTCACTCTCCCAGCTCGTGGACCTCCTTGGGCCTCCGCCACCTCCTCTCTGGATCTACAACAGCTAAAAGGGCTGAGAGCTCAGCCCCCTGAGTGCCTCCCATGAACACAGGCAGTTCGTCCTGGGCTGCTTCCCATCCTGTAGAATAAATTAGCACCCAGCTCTATCAGTTCATCAGAGTCAAGACTTTTCTAAAACAAGTTTAATTAAACCAAGAGGCTCTTGGGTTTTCTCAGATTCGATGTGATCAAATCTACCCAGAATACTGGATTTCTCTTGGCTCTTTAGCAGGGTCTCCTCGTCCAATTCTCTGCCTTTAATGGTCTCCAAGTCTTTTTTTTTTAAGCATATTTTAAAATCATTTTAAATTTTAGTTTTTATTGAAATGTAGTTGATTTACAATGTTAGTTTCAGGTATACAGCAAAGCGATTCAGTTATACATACACACATATTTTCAGATTCTTTTCCATTATGTTATTACAAGAAATTGAATATAGTTCCCTGTGCTATACAGTAGGTCCTTGTTATTTATCTATTTTATATATAGTAAGGTGTATCTGTTAATCCCAAACTCCTAATTTATCCCTCTCTAATTCTTGACACAAAAGAGAGGGAGGGAGGGAAGGAGGGAAGAAAATGAAAACCACTCACCCCTGCCTGGCACTCCCACAGTCCCCCTATCCCCAGATGTCTTGTAAGTCTTGAAGGCTTAGAAATACTGCAATTGATAGAAAACATCAAACAAAACATAGTCCCTTCTGGCTACAAAATCTCAAGAACTGTGAGCATCAAACCAAAATAAAATGCCCATTGGAAAGGCTGCTGAGGTTGGTTGCTGGCCATGCATGACAGTCCTATTCCTGGAATCCTGCCCCAGCACGTCCAGGGCCAGAAAAGAAAGCTGTTTGTCTCTATGAAGGTGACCAGGATAGTGCCTGGGGAAGGAGCCAATGCTCTCCCGAAATTTCTGTCTTCCCATCCACCTTGAATGTTTTATCTTCCTTGGATTGTCCCTAAATCCCTCTCCTTAATATTCAAGCAGCCCCCTCCTTCATCTTGCTCCATAATTGACTTGAGATGAATCTACTTCCTAGGCTATAAATGCCTTCTGTCCTCTCCAGGGGTCCATGAAAAGTTGACTTGTAACCAGGCATGTAACACCAGTGAGAAAAAAACACAAATCAGAGCAAACTTTCAGATTTTTTTTATTATGCATCTGACAGTACTTTCTGAGTGTCAGCAATGAATGAATTTCTCTCGGCGACACCATCTTGGCACCAAGCCAAATAGTGCCTATGTGTTTAAAAAAATGTAATTCAGGTTCCAAGGAGTATGAGTGGGGTTTCAGAACACAATTAACCGTCCCTCCACGTACAGTGGCTTTGCTTTGCACACATCCACTGAAAGGAGTTGGAGAAGAGTTGCTCAATAAGTAATTGCTTCTCTAAACTGTACACGGCAAATCAGTCCCTTCCGTTTTCTTGTGATGGAGATTCACTCTGATACCTGTAATAACTTAGGAAATCTTCATGGAGAATTTAGCACTGGGTCAAGGCCAACACCCCAGCATTCGCCACCCACCATGACCTGGGCACACGCTCAAACGTGGGTTCTTGTCTCTCTGCCATCCACCGGGGGAGGCGGGCGGCCCGCCCCATCCCCAAACTCATGGATGAGTAAACGGTGCATCTTCTTCAGACGCTCGGTAACCTCAGCGCGGCTGTCAGCGCGCAGCTGAAAGAGATTGCAAATTCTCAGGTATTAATAATTCCCAGGCGTTGCCAATTATATAGATAAATAGAAATTTACATAATTTACAAAGCGTTTGTGTGTGTGGCTTATTTTGAAGCCATTCCCCAAAGATCCACATTTCTTCATGAAAACATTCACCCTAGAAGCTGTGAGGCAGGGCCGTCTTTCCAGTGGCGTCCAGGGAATGTCTACTGCTCATTGGTGTGACTGTCTGCAAAGAGCAGACAAGGCTCTCTGCTGCACGTCCTGGGGTCCAAAACCCGCAGATATTAATTTTCTCCTTTTTTTTATCACAAGCATCATGGTTTCTTCTTTTTTTTTGGAGATACATTCTTTTGGTGGGTACCCAAGCACAGCTGAAAATTTCTGCCTAAATCCTGTAAGCCTCAAACTCATCAACTCCTATAGAGCGCGACTAATTTGCATCTAGAACTGACACCCCGTGCCTGCCCAGGTGAGGGTACAGACGCTGGGGAGCCCGTAATGTGCGCTGCATCTGTTACAAGATGGACGTGTTTACATTCAAAAAGAGTTAGCTTGGAGTCCACTTATTCTGCAAAAGCAGCAGCTTTCCCACGTGCCATGCCTCTCCAAAAACAATTTCCTGCATGAAACTGGAGCCCTGGGCGTCAGGCCCCAGGACTCAGCTGGGATCATTTTACCCATTAGGGAAACTGGGGGCCTTTGGATCGGGGCATTCTCGGGGAAGGGCTGTATTGTTAAGTGCAGACCCCTCGAGCGGGTCTTCTCCCACAGGCAAAACTCATTCCTTGTCCTCCAAGAGGTGGAAATGTGAACCTCGGACAAGCCAGAACCGAGGCCTTCCTGCGGCAGGCCCGTCCTCCCAAGGGGCTCCTGAAAGCATTCAGAGCAATGGGCAGAGCGCGGGGAGGCCCAATGCCCGGCACGCATGTGATGGTGATGGTCTAAAGCCTGCTCGCTCTGTCTGTCCTTGACTTCAACCTATCTTGGAGAAAGGGGGCAAAAGAAAAAAAAGATGTATGTTACAAAAGGAGGGCTCTTTGCTGGCTGAGAAAGGAGATGTCTCCCCACCCCATCTCTAGCCTGACTCCCTGTTTCCAGCCGAACCTCCTCGCCTTGCCAGGGCTTCTCGGCAATTTCAAAGGCTGCCATCCACCCGGGAAGGTGTGACTCCATCTTCTCACACATGCGGCCACGGGGAGCCCTCCCGCAGCCGGGTCACCCCATTGATGGTCACAGGACCGCAGTAGCTTCCATTCTGAGAATGCCAGTCTGGCCATCCCTAACTCTTGAGTCTTGCAAGAAAGTAAGGCCTGTGGCTTATAAGGAAAGACTTTTTTTTTTTTAATAAGTAGAGCTTCTTTCCAGAGTTTTACGTGAATCGTAAAGACCGGGAAGAATCACCCTTCTAGGTCCCAGGGGGACACCTGTGCCATCACTCATCTTCTCAACGACACAGTCAGAATGATGGTAACACCAGCAGAAGCAGCTTGGTGCTTTTTCTGTGCGGGCCTCTCCTGCCTTCCTGGAAGACGCCCAGCGGTTCCTACACGGCCTCTGCACTTACCTTCCCCTGTCGGACATACTCTTCCCCTCCTCACCCCCTGGCTCACCCCTCCTCACTCCCTCCAGGTCTCCGGTGCCAGTGTCGCTCAGCCAGTGAGACCACCCCTGTCCCAAACAGCAACCACCCCCAACACTTCCAACCCCCAGCCTGCTTCCTGCTCTCCTTCATATGCCCTGCCTATGGTTTATGTATTTCTTTGCTGTCTGCTCCCCTACTCTTTAAATTCCAGGGAGGAAGGAGCATATAGCTCACTGGTAGAGTGCATACCTAGCATGCACGAGGTCCTGGGTTCAATCCCCAGTACCTCCATTGGAGAGAATTAATAAATAAACTTAATTACCCCTCCAAAAAAATGAAATAAATTCCAGGAAGGCCGACCTTTGCCTTATTTCCTGTCGTGTCCCCAGCAGCTGGGATGGTGCCCTGCACATCACAGGGGCTCAACAAATCATTGTCAAGTGAGTGCATAAGTGAATGAATAAATGACGTGATGGATGGATGGTTTTAATCACATCCCTCTCTCACTGAGAGGGATTTGGGTTTGGGATGAGGAAGAAAGAGGAAGAAGGACGAGAAGGCAAAGCAGGGACAGCTGGAGCCTGACTCACGCTCCCCGGGTCTCTCTCTGCCCCTTGACCCTCCTCCTCCCTCTGCGTTCTCATTATGGGTGCTGACAGATCCCTCTCTGGACCACTTGCTGCGATCTGCCACCAACTGGGAAAGCCTCCTGTCTACCAATCAGGGTTTAATCTTCCCTTGATCAGTATCTGTAGGAACCCAAGCCCCCTCCAGGCCATTATTACGAACATAAATTACCGTCCCATCGCAGATGTGTGGGCCAGTCATTAATAATTATTTCTGATTGATAAAGTGACAAATAAACCCAGTTTGGCTGCAGGAAACCACCAGGATCATAGGGAAAAAGTCAAGCAGGTTTAAAAAAAATTAATAGAATGAATTGGAGGACTCGGAGGGTTTGGACTCCAAGAAACAGTGGTCACTTTGTCCAAGCCTGGGGAAATCCAAGGCTGGATGTCACCACTCAAAAGCTCAAGGGATGCGGGGGTCAGCTCCTAAGACGCAGGGCGGGCTGTCCACTGTTTCAGCTGGCTCGGGTCCTAGGGGCGATCTCTCCAAAGCACTAAAGCTGGTGGATACACCCGACACGAGGTGGGGTTCCTGCTGGCCGCTGGCGCAGACCAGATGCGACCCCCACGTCTCTGTGCCCCCAAAGGCACAGTGGCTCAGAAAGCAGCTTCACCTCCTCGGACGCAGGTCTCGGGCCACACTGCTGGCCTGCTCTCCTGCTTTCTTGTCAGGTTTCCCCGCTGTCCTTTAATTCCTGCAGGGAGAGAGCTGGTTTTAAAAAATCAACCCGTATTTCCACGTGGCTGGTTTTTCAGCATCAAATTATGCCTCCCTCCTTCCCACCAACGTGTGCACTTTCCCCCAGGACTGCGTTTCAGGCAGTTTCTGAAGGCTGAGCGCACGGTGGGTGGATTCCTCCCCGGGTACAGACCCCACTAGCACTTGTCAGTTATCCATCGGATGTTAAGGAGCCAAGAAGAAAAATGCGGTTGGCACTGAGGTTTCCAGACAGCAAATCCTGGGTCCCTGGCTACCATGGCACCTGCTGCATTGAGACCCGCCCACCCCCCAAGTTTGTGCTTTTTTTACTTGCATGGAAAGAACCTGGAGGTCCCATCCCACCCACCATGGCTCTGGGAAGGGGCTTTACAGACCAGTTCTGCCTGGAGCGGTTGATGAATCTGGGCCCAAAGAAAACGAGGAGCCAGGAGCACTAACAGGAATCCCGGCTGAGTAAAAACCAACTTAAACGGCTGCCATGCAGCAGGTCTAGGGGCTGCTTATTTATTCGACTCCACACTGACTCACAAGTTTCTCTCCGGCAGCTTGCGTGGACTCCAGGGTCTCAAACTCAGAAGCCTAGTGGGGGTGGCCACAAAGTAAGGTGACGAGTCACCCAGGTGGACAGCTGCGGCATGTCTCACCCTAGCACGAGCGGCCCTCACTTGGTTTCGGCCTATCTGGCCTAGACGGAATGCAGGCTGCTAAGATCAGATGGTCCCATTTGCTATTTCTGAAGAAGCTAAAAATACGCCTTGGGCCAGGGTGGGGTAATTCTTCAGTTCTGAAGTGCTGGCAACTTATTCAGATTTTGGCAAATTGCTGTGCAGTTCAGAAGAGATCCGTCTGGAGACCAGACACGGCCGTGGCCACGTTGTGGGTGATGTTCTGGAAGGCAGCGAGGGAACGGGATATCGCACCCCTCACCCTCCGGGAGCCGAGGGACCACATCTCCCCGCGCAGCCCCCGCACTTCCTCCCCTGCCCGCAGGACCACAGCCAGCAGGACGGAAAGGTGCCGTCCTGCCACCCACAGGGCCCCAGGGATAACGCTCTCT